CCCCCCCCCCCAAGGTGAAACAGAAGCCTCGGGGGAATAGGAATGGCTTATGTAGTCTACTACATTCCCTACGTTTTGCTAAAAGTAGATTAAGAATTGTTGGCAAACGTCTTTTGGCTTATTACTCTGTGTTAATTACGCTTGTTCCATGTTTAAGTTTCTAAGAGGCGTAGCTTAATTTTGAAAAATTAGTCAAAGGACGCTTAAGCCACTCCAGTGGCATTTGTCAGTCGTGGAAAATGCGATAGTTTTATAATTATTGGAAATAAATTGTGGAAAAAAAACTTAAGAGAAAAACCATTTTTCACTCTTTGAAGGCCAAGATGTTGCTCACTTTAGTTGAAGTTCAGATAAACTTATAAATGTTCCATTTAATTTTGTACCTTATAGACATCATATCCATGGATTATCGCATCAAATGTAGTATACAAGTCATTTAGCAAGGTCACAATCTATCAGCAAAAAAAAAAAAAAAAAAAAAAATGACAAGAGGGAAATCAGCTGGCGGCTTTAGTAGTCGAATATGCATAGTGCTTCGTGTAAGTGTCAGTCACAAGTATGAATACCACGTTGACTCCAAATTCTAATTCTACCTGGAACCAGTGGACAAGAGGAACCACCTCGTGGAATGTCCACCCCTAAATTCCCATTCCTGTTTCCATTTTCAAAAACTCAAAGATTAGAATAATGTTATTTGGGCAAAAATGTTCAAAACTAAAGCTGATTCATCGCCACAATAAATCTAGATCGTATCCTAAAATTAGTTGCGTACGAGATAGGAACCCTGGATCAATTTCAGCATCTGTGTAACTTCACACTTACACCTCCCCTGACCCGAGAACAGTCGACTGATATCAAGTTTGGGTTACTTCTAGGTGAAGGGAGGGGTAGGCGTGTAGTTTCTCAGATAATGAGATTGATTCAGAATCCTCATTGGAAAATCCTCAGAGCGTGATATATATTTGATAGGAGGCAGAGTGAGGGTTTTGTCTCAAGCGATATGCGACAAAATGTTTGTTAAGTATCGATGAGGTTTCTCCAGTTAAAAAGTTATAAGGAGTAAAACTATGAGGAGGATTTCCAAAGGTTAACAGGGCTATTGTGGAGTTAACCTGCAATGGAGTACTCTCTGAGGACAGAGCAGTAAATCCCACGATGTCGCTAAAGAATAATGTTACTTCGTCAAAACTTTCAGCCTCCACTGGTCTTCCTCTTTTCAACTGATCAGCTACACTCCTTTTGAAAAATTCAAATAATAGCAAACCTCATTGAATTTCAATGATATCTATAATTTGGGTGGTGCATCTGAGTCTGGTGAAAAAGAACCAATCGAGTTGTCGCAAATTCCTCTCAACACCCAGTTAAAGTGGTTGTTAAACTAACACTTTCCCTACAAGGACCCGTCCAAAAACTTGCCGTTCTTTCCATCTACTTTTACCTTTTCTCCAAATGTTACTTACGAAGGGTGACAAATAGCAAATATACCTGCTTACTATCGATACATTTACAAAATTTAATCGGTACACACTCCCTAATTTATTGTTAAATTCAGAACTTAACATCTCCCTAAATATTTTCGCGCCAGCCACATGAGAGAAGAGTTCAAAGAATGGTCTAAATATAGATAGAAAAGATGATATTTACTTTGGGAGCATGCTGTGAAGCAGTTCATCTGTCCTCTTCTTTTCTTCAATCCACTGTTCAGTTCGTTTTTCAACGAGTTTTTCCAGATTGAGTGAATGTTCTTCCAGCATGTAAATTATCTTATCGACGAGGTTGTTCCTAAACGCAAACAAAATTCACGATCAACTAAATGGGTCTAAACCTCAAAACGGTGAGACAAGTTTGTTATGGATTAATCAATCATGACACTGTAAAATGCAAATAAAGAAATGACTGTTTGTGGACTGCAATTTATGTAATTGCAGAAAAGGCGCTTGGAAAAATTTCGAACCCAGGCCTCCCTGATATTACTTGAGTACTACTACTCGAACAACTGTGGTGCCACACGTATGAAGCAAGGCCAACTTTTAGAAGGTTCATCTTTTTCCGTAAAGGAATCTGACTACAATTCTTTAACTGGATGCATAATGTGGTTTTGCATGTCACGTTATATCTATCGTTAGCTGTAAACAGTTGTTAAAAGGAAGAAAAACATTGAACCTTACTTTCTTCCGTGGAGTTTCTTTAATAGCTTTCTTATCTCCCAAAATTCAGGTCTTTCATCTGGATTCTCATTCCAGCACATTTTCATCAAGAGGTGAAGATCTTCTCTTGCCACATTGGCCGTGAGTGGAGGGCGAAAAGGAGGATTGGTACGGGTCGACACGCGACCGACAATTTCTGTCACGAACACAGTGGTACATACGATGTCTCAATATAATTCTGTTTGTTCTATTCTACCTAAACTAACCTAACATTAAGGGTACGTTTTTAGACAAATTGTGGTGCTGCGGCGGTAGGGGATATTGCTCATTCACTGTAATCTTTATTGAAAATTTACGGAAATCTGCCATGTGGTATTCCAGACGATTCCCTTTACTTACCCTTTGCCTCAAGGTGGCAGTCATGATATGGCAGATTCCTAGTCTCCAGTTCATGTACTATGATTCCAAAGCTATAAACGTCTCCTTTTGGAGTACCCCTGCATGGGTTTTGTTTCTGACGTAAAAGTTCAGGAGCAGTCCACAACAGCTCTGTGAAATAATGAGTCAATTTCTTTTAGCCACTTCTCGTTGCTATGGGCAACTTACATTCTCAATGGGCACATTCCCGTAAAGGGCGATATCAAAGAAGGACTGGGGGCTATACCTGTAGTAGATCTAGTCATTATAATACTCCTTACCAGGATTGACAAGGAATCACGATATCTCTTTTTTTACTCTGTGATTACGAAAACGAATAAATAAATTAAAAAAAAAAAACAAAAAAGCAAAAAAAACAAAAACAAAAACAAAAACAAAAACATGATCGTAGGTCGTAGATACCCAGGGTAAACGCAGCATTACATTGCTTTGCCTGGGGAGATACCCCTAAGATAAAGATAACGAAATATTTGAAACAGTTAGGGCTCGCGACTATAGAATTCACCTAATGGGTTTTGTATTTATTTTGTTTTTACATTTTTGAGTAGGCATTAATCCCTGTAATATTACACACTGACCGTTAAAAGTCATGTGTAAAAGAAACAGTATTTCAAACCTATCAGTTTTATTTGTAATTTTACATCATTTTACTATCTTCTCTTATTATTCTTGACAAAAGAAGAAAAGTAAAAAATGTCTGTACTCGCTGTATGTACTTATACTAAAATATCTGGCCTATACAGGTTCAGCTTTAATGTTTGACATTGCTTTCTTTGTAGTCAAATCTTTTCAAAGTGATACCCGCACACGAAAATCAACGAAGTAAGTAGATGTGTTGTCAAACCGTACTAGAGTAGTCTTGGACATAACCGCAACTTCTCACGCTGAGGCGTTCGTTGTGCGCCTTGAACTCCCTGAGCCCGTGGTTTGTGATCTTTAAAATCCAGCGGCTATCTACCACGCAGTTAGATGAGGTGAGGCGTCCATGAAACTTGATGTCAACACTGTGAAGATAGTCCATGCCCTGGGGAACAGTAATGGAATAATAATAACGATAACAATAATAAAAATGATAATTGTACTAATCATAATACAGTCAGCAACGTAGTGAACCAATCAGCCAATAATTGCAACGATACAAAAACAAACATATTTAAAAACAATAATAAGAGGCATAATTTGAGGAAAAGGCTCACAAGACTCTTTTAACATTTATTCTAGCTTCCTCTCCTCTAAAATGATCATAGATGAAAGCTAAGAGAATGAATAAAGAACGTAGTTCCAGGTGTAGACGATGCTCAGCTGTTTTGTCTTCGTCGCATGTGAGACAGCACACATAGTAAGGTATGTTCTAGCTTTAGAGCAGACCCTCACTTTTAGTGATGCAAGACGCGCGTTTCTCCCCCCCCCCGCGGGAAGATTTGAGGCGAGTCAGGGAAAGGCTTATCGGTCCGGCAGTAATATCTATTGGTATTAGACTTCTTGCAAACCTCTCACGGGCTCCCCCGGCTCTAGGTCTCAGGCCGCCAAGAGACTTTCTTTCTTCGACAAAAAGTCTTTTCACGCCCGCGGGAAAGCGTGCAGGTCTCGTGCTGAAGCACTAATACTGAGGGACTGTGCGTAAGCCAGGTTGGCTCTGGGTCCTTGTACGGTTTAAAACATCATTAGTACCCCCGAATATAACACCATACACACAGTTAAATAAGAATCAAGAAGCTTCTCAGTCCTTAGAGAAAATATAGCTTTTAGTTTGAAACTGAAATTGTTTATCTTACCGTTGCAATTTCCAGGATAAAACTATGAATAAATATGCTGTCTAACTTTATGTCCTCGTTCAAATTGACCTCCTATGATAAAACAGCAATGAAATATTTCAATAAATTTTCAACTACACAACGTATAGTAACCGTGGCGAGCTTGTATGTGGTTTGTGATGTCATGCAACGCATGCGCAATTTCTAAAAATTGTGTACCAAAGGACGGCTTCGAAAAGGAACTACCAAATTGGCGGCAACGAAAGCAATTGAATTGATTATTTGTTACCTGTAAAGTTCCTCTTGAGCAGTATTCTGTGAGAATGCAGATGTTGGGAGCATCCACGCATGCGCCAAAAAACCTGGTCAAATTCGGGTGATGTACCTCACGAATCTGTCGTGAGATTATGAATAATTATAATTTTTAAGTGGTAAGTTTTTTCACCAACTTAACCTTTAATTAAAATGTTAGATTATGCAGCCAGCACATTTTCATCCGCGCTCAATGAAAACGAAACGGCCTGGCCGTAAATACGCAGAGCGGAGGTGCCACTGTTCCTCAACTTTCTACTTCCCGTTTGCGGCGTTGCTACTCTAATCTCACATGGTACATTATAACCAGCTTTGTAGACTGCCGAAAAATCATCATGGGGGATTGTATCGATTAAGTGTACTGACCTGTTTTAGTTCAAGGAGCACAGTTCTTGTTAAGTCAACATGATTTTTCTCAATGCGTTTTACGACCACTGGATGTCCCTGCGAGGGAAGTGTTGAGACGGCCATTTTGCTTTCAAATATAACATTTACAACAAGTAGACTGATTTTGTTAATAATAATTAATAATAACCTCTCCACAAATTAACTCTTTAACTTCCATGAGTGACCAGGATAGAATTTCTCCTTACAACATCAATACAATATCAAGCAGACAAGAGATGAGAATAGAGAAAATATCTAATAGGGGATTACAAGTTGATCCAATACCAAATTCTCCGATTGTTTGACTCCATAAGAATTGTACAGCGAAAGGTAAGGCGAATTACTAGTGAGATCTTGGGAGCGAAAGGGTAAATGATTAACGCTTGCTTGACTACAAATATTTCGTGATATTGCATCTCCTCCTTGATCTAACCTATTCCAAACGTTCAGTTGCCTCCTCCTTGATCTAACCTATTCCAAACGTTCAGTTGCCGAGGAATGAAAAGATGCTTGGGTCGAGCGGTTCACTATTTCGCTCGGATTTCGTACCGTTTTACCAGCTGAAAACCTGGGATAGGCCACCTAACGACAGCCTGTATACAGCCGCCCCTTACCCTTCGAAAAGATAAACTAGATGGGGTGACGCCCCTTTAATTAAAAATTAGTAAAGTAAATTCTAGTATGGCGGTCAGATGCCTAATTTTTTTTGTAAACACCTTATATGTCCCCAGTGTGATGCCGCACCGAGGTCTGTTTGCCGTTGATATCTGAAAGAAAATAGATGTAAGTGTGTAGCATATACAGTTTGTTTCGTAGTTAGTGATCAATAGATCCCTGGTTATTTAAATTGAGAGTGATAAAGGGGAAGGGAGGGAGGATTGGGGGATAAAGAATTTTTGAGGTGAACAAATGGTTTTCAGAGGGAACGGAGTGGGGATTAGTCGTCACCTACAGAGTACATGGGTGGAGGGGAGGGGGAGTACTACGGAAAGTTGGCTGCTAATTAACTGCCAAACAAGGGGGGTCATAAGAATATTCCAGAGCCTTAGGGGGGGATCAGTTAAATTATGTCGTAACACAACAAAACTCCTCCTGAGGAAAATCAATATGGCATGAAGATGATCGTCAAAGTGACCTTGGAATATCAACTCCAGAGGAAGGAGAGGGAATCACACAAAGGAAACATTAGGAGGAAAACGTTCGAGAAAGGATGAACGAGGAGAGGAGGTAACAGGAAACGAAAATGAAGAAACGAGATGATAAAGTTAATCCGAAGAGCGGAGAAGAGATTAAGAGAAATGGAAAAATAGGATGGACGCCAATGGGCGAAGAGGCGAAAAATGGGAAAGTTTAATTTTTAGTTTTTACTACTGACATAACCTGAACAAGAACTTCAACAGTTTCACACCTCGCTAATGGTTGATATCCTTGAGACACTGCTACCCATAGCAGGACAAATCACGATGTCTTCGTATTTCACCTTCCATATTTGACTGGCCAGCTCTTTTTCAAAGGCGTGTTTCCTACTAGGATGAATTTAAAGAGTGAATATTAGACGTACAAATATCACAACCAGAGCATAAGTGGAAGTATAAAAGTGGAAATAAATGAGAAAACTCTTGGGAGAAAGCTGGGATCAATGTCTATAGTTATCCGCGGTGTTATTGGATAATATCCTCGTTCGTTACGCATCGTTAAGACGAATGTCTGTTTTAAATCTGTTTAGCGCGGCTCATAATAAGTGGCACAAGAGACGTTTGATATCTGACCCTTAAGAGTGACTAACACCTTATTTCTCCTCACAACATCACCCTTGAATCACACATTAAGGTCATGAGAATTAAAGAGATGATCACCAAGTAAAGAAGCTTTTGATTGTTAAACAAATTCTCTTTTTCAGCACCCTAAGAAATGTATAGAGAATATGCACACTGATGTTAGGGTGCTAAAAAGATACTATTATAAAGACTGACAAGACTTAAGCCGGGAGAGACGTTAAACGTGTTCTTAACTCCTAACGACTTTGTCGGCTGAGTTTTTTTTTTACCTGATATAGAAGAGTAACAGCACCGTACCAGCTACGATAAGAGACGAAACTACAGCAGCAGCTATGACACCTGCTTTGTAGATAATTGGCTTTGAAGGACCTTTCAGAGGGCAAAAAGTGGAAAAGCTTAGCCAGATGAAATAAATAAAAAAAGCTACAAAAGTTACTGGATGAAACAAGGTCAAACGAGTCAGACGAGTCAAACGGATCAAAAAAGTCAAGCAAGGCACTTACTTGGTGAAGGTGTTGGACAGAGCTCACCAGTGAATCCGCATGGAGGCCTGTCTACTGGAGGGGAAGTTCGCTGATCATACTCGGACCAGCTGATATTAATCCCGGAAAATAGCTCAAGGACTTGGTTTCCGCTCGTTTCGTTCAGCTTAAACTCGCCAACAGTCTTCATTTCTGCCGTCAAAAATACAAATAGAAACCAACAAAATATGGTGTTATTACTGCAAATTTACAACTTTTGAACAAGGTTCTTTAAAATGTGATAGATCGTCAGCGGAGAAAGTTATTCAATACACCTAAAGCTGACAATTTTGCTAAAATAGACCTCTGCTAGGGAAAAACATAAACCGCAATCATAGCTTAAGTCGTTTATCAACCTTTCCGTGATTAAAACCATCCAGTGACCTTGTTTCATGCAATTTCGACCAACAAATGAATTTTTAAGTAATGGAAAATAAGGGCTACAAGGTGATAGAGTATGTCCGTTTGGATTTTGACCAGTCAGAGAGCCGAATTTCACAAACCTGACCAAACTGAAATGAACTCGTCAGTGCGTTACCGCTCATGGTTTTTCAAAATGGGTGAAGAGAATGTGCTCTGTGATTTTTCCATTGTGGGCACAAATAGGCCACAATCAGTAAAGAATCTGGTTTCGAGAAAAACGAATTTAATATATAACTTTATTAATTACTTTTAATATTTCTTACCATGTCCACCACCAGCATTCTTGAAATATTCTAGAAGCGTCATGTTAAATTCAACGTCTCCATTCTCATCCACATGTAATTGAAATCCTGTGATACCTGGCAAAATAACGAGGAGTAAAAAACTTATTTTTCCTTTAATCACAGAGACCAATGGAATTCATGAAAAAAGCTGATGTCAATTATAGGGCCTTAGCCGGTCTGCAATCGCGCTTAAAATAAAGTTTAGACACAAAGAGCAAAATCTTACTTTCAAAATTTGTCCTTTTGATATTCTTAAACACGGCAACTCCGTCCTTTGGGCTCTGTCCGTTGGAAATCGTCTTATTCAGTGCCAACGCGTACAAATACACGGCGTCATACAAATACGCCGCATAATGAACTACCTTTGATTGAAAAAGAAATTAATCAAAAGAGTAATTGACGCACAGAAAGAGCTCTCTTGAAATGAACAAAATTGATTCAGCTCAACTTGGCAGTCAAATACCTACAGTAACTGGCCAAAGCCTCGCACGCTCTTGTCATTTCTGAATGTTTTTTCTTCTTCATTTTAATGCCACTGGGTTACATTGTTTGGGGGGAATGTGGGGTCTCTTCAAGAAGCTTATTACATACGAATTACACGATTTCCGTTTGTTATGCTGAGTGGAGGGTGGTCGACCTTCTACCGAGAGGAAGGGGTGCCAACTAATTTTGCCGTTCTCTGTAGTATCTAATCAATATCATAGTTTTATGATTGTTGTAAGGGCAATCCTTGTACATCTCAGATGGGTTTCAAAACCCTTTTTTTCTAGCACCAAAGCCATACTGTAAAATCAAAACTTGAACCTCAGGGGTCTTTTTGGCCTGATTTTCTAAAACTCTGTTTACATTTCTGGATCATCACAAATTCCCATACATTCGAAACTTTGGTGTCCTTTCCTTTACAAATCTCTAGGTAACGTTTTGAGTTACTAACATGACATTTAACAGTGTAATTTCTTACGGTTTTATATTCCCCCTTCTTCAAGCATTTGAAAAGAAAACACGAGTCTTGATGAGCTTTTGTCTCTTAGATAACTCTGTTATGAGAAAAGACGAGATCTTGCAACGAGCAACGTGCGAATTTTGTGACACCTTTTCAAACTCACTTGGTCCTGCGTTTCGTCGTTCGCCTTTTTTAACACACGCTGCTGGAACTTTTTGTACTTGGTAGCGTCGAAAGGTCTGGGAACTAGTGTAAGTACTGAGTGCCAGGCTCTCTCGGCTTCGACCTTGTTGATCTTTCCACTGATTCCTGTCAACCAATACTCCGCGTCCTGATGCTGTTGGCCAATCACAGAGTTAGCTGTGCTGATGATGTACACGTAATCACCATTTGTCATCCCTTTACTTCGAGCGCGGACCATGAATGGTGGTGCATATTCAGGATTTGCAGCGATTATCACAACTGGAAGAAATTTTAAACCTCAATAAAGTAAAACTGTTGGCAATACATTTTCTAAAAGGGAAAGTGAAATGTTGCCGAGCCCTCGACATGCCTTTATAGTTTGGAATGGTGTCTGTTTGTTGTTGAGTTTCGTTTTCGCGTGCAGAACATTTTATAAATGAGGCAGTCAAACTTTTCGTCACGATCAGGACTGAGAATTGCTCATCAAGGTCAATGGTCTCGATATGGTGTTTCAACAAAGAAATAAATGAAAAACTATTTCGAGGTCTCTCTTCCCTCTGTTTACATCCTGACTTGTACAAGCTCGCGAAAAGGGCTTTTCAAAGACAAATTTATGACCTGCTTCTGACTGTGCTTGGGGAAAATGATTATGACGTTGGCCCCCATTCTCTAATCTTGAAATTAAAAACTAGTTCTTATCATACCTTATAGCTGTAGTTATTACTTCGCCAACAACAACACTGATTTATCATTAACTCCCCTCTCCACCTCTCATTTCAACGCTATTTCTAGTTATCATTGGATCTGCTTGCTGTACTTGCTAACAGATCAGAGGAACAGAAAAAGCATTGCGTGACAACAGAACGCAACTACTGTGATGGAGATCAACATGTTAGACTCTTTTAGCTGAAATAAAAGTACGAGGTATACTTACTCCGAGCCTTTACTTTGATCTCCTCCAGGATTAGGTCAAACCTTTCCTGCTGGTGCTCTTGTGGCATTTGAGCCTCGTAAGTGACCTCGATGCCATTTTCTTCAAAATATATTTTCATGTCTTCTTTCGTCTTCTCCCATCGCTGCTGACTAAAGCAACTACCATCACAATATATGATGGCTACTCGTGTCCAAGAAAATTTCCTCAGCACAGCCAATACACTCTTGCTTAGCTGCGAGTTGGGAGGCCTTGTTCGAGCGAAGGTTGGGTAAAGAGATTTATCGGAGACAACGTCTTCATTACAGAACTAAAATGGAAAATCAGTCATCAGCAGTCAGCGGAAGAATTAGTCATTTATCTGTAAAATATCATTTTCGAAATACGAGTTGCAATAACCTTATCCTAAGCTCTAAATATTGACTTGCAGTATATCAGTCATGCAACAAAGTACTTCAGCGAGTTTCGATAATGCTTTTATTTCATTAAAGTTATCGGTTTCTAGAGGGTTAGAGCACGATACTCGAAGCCTAAGGAGTTTATCTGCTCAAGTTTATCAGTTTTCGTTTATCTGATTTCTGAAATCGATTAAATCCGCTCAATATTGGGGTAAATTTTAAACCTGGAAAGAATCATTATGTAGCATTCCATCTTAGGGGAAGCAGAGACAATGCTGGTTGGCCCAATTATTTTACTTAAAGTTGTATCAGGGACAAGCTTACAATTTGAAATCTTGCTGCGAAGGCCGAGGTGTGCTGACGCTCGAAACGTTAGCTTTAGTCCTCTTTATGGTGGCCAATTTTACATCGTCAACTCAGCTGATAAAACCAAGTATATCTAGTAATACTTACCCATCGACGCAGCACCTCAGTTTCTTTCCAAACTTACCTCCTTTATTTAAAAGTTGTTATGCGGAGAAAGTATTCGGAGAAAGTATTCAGATTACTCAATTCGGTATCAAAATACTATATTCATCAGTCATTATTCAGCCAAGAAAAACACTATCGTCATGGAAATCACAACAGTACCGTCAAATAAAGCTGAGGTTGTCATAGTTGCTCCTGATAAGCTTATGTTAATACTCCATAAAATTTGAACTCCACTGCCGAAAACTTCAAATAGACTTATCCTATTATTTGTTCAAACTAACAACATGACATGTTGTGCGATTACCTTCACCTTGACCTGTTCATGCAATACATTTAATTAGAAGGGGAATGAACTTAAAAGGCGGCATGATATGAAAATATCGTGAGAATAAGATCTCGTGCAAAAAAAAGCCTTTTTCTAGCCAAAAAAAAAAAAAAAATCGAAGGCTGTCAACGAGTAAAATTACTCAACACCTGTGTAAAAATTAAGGTTATGCAATGTTTGGAAAGCTTTACAACGTAGATTAGGATAAATTTTCGGCTCAGTAAATAGTGAATTGACAGAAAGAGAAGTATTGCAGGTGGCATTATACACTGGCTCGCTGCGGCAGAATGAGAAATTAATCCCCTTTGTCTGACTTCTGGCATAAGTTTAAGCTGTTACGATCAGCTTAATAGAACTAATTTAAATGCAGTGTATAAAAGAATTTCTGAGATCCGATCGCATTACTCTATAGTGAGCAAGTCTTGTTGGATGTGCAACACGTCTTTTCTGACAAAACATCGCTTTGCGTCTTTCGCGGTCTGTTTGGCTTATTGGTTGATTCCGGCTGAGAGCTGACGGTGTATCTTAAAGGTAAGTAATTGCCTATCTTCGCAAATGTCTTATTATATTTTGAAGTGAAAGGTTATTCAAGACAGCGGCAGTTTGTGGGAACCGTATTTGTATAAAAGGAACACAACACATCATACTGTGACATTACTCTTGCTGCAAATACATAGAGGACGTTTCACTAAACGCAGGGGAAATCCGACCCTACCTAAAACCGGTGTGAACGAAGAGTAGTTGTGTTCTTTCCGCCACTGAAGAAAAGGTAGCTAAAAACGTTTTTACATGATTGGGGATCAAAGGAAACGTATTGAATTATTAGGGTTTGCCCATAATTTAGATACTTAACCAAAGTTTTAAAGAGGATCCTCCCCGTCAGTAAATCTTGAATAATTTAACTTAAATTAATTAATTTCATCGAAATACGCATTATCTCCTTTATTTATCGTCGTAGTTTCTTGTATATCACAATCTTTTTGTATTTCTTTCCCAAGCCATTGGGACATGTCTCTTTGCTTCTGTAATTTGATGAAAAATTTGAATAGCTTTAAAAACGCAGCGAAATAACTTATTTTAGCCCCTTAAAGACTTGTATGGACGCCTTGGAAATTATTGCACCCTCTCAGACTTGATATAGCATGAAACTTACGTATGAGATTATTGGAAGATTCCAGGCTGCAGCGACACGGGCTGAAGTTGCACAGTAGGTCTCGTTTCCCGGCCCGATAAAAACTTGAACTCCGCGATTCCTGTGCTCGGTCATGGCCTGGATACCATCCAGCTCACTGCATCGCGTATCATTCAGATGATACGATAACTTAAAGTTGAAGGTGCTGCTGTTGTTTATGGTCTCGATGGCCACATGGAAAGCGGAAGCGAATTGGTTATCGGTGGTAATCAGCTGCTCACAGGACGAAAAAGGGTAAAGTAGTACCATCGTGACAGTTTCCTTGTTGGGTTGACTGTTCGACTGAATTGCAGTCATGGGCAGAAGAACCATGAGAGAGAAAAATTTACTGAACTGCCAAGTTGCCATGCTAGTTTGCTTTGTAGTGATCACCTCCGCTTAGTAAATGTCTCCTTTCTTTTCTGAGTTCTCTTGAGTAAATACTGTTAAAAGAAACTTCATTGCACTTCTACATTAGTCTGACAAGTGATCCTCGTCATCATGAAGGAAACAATTCAGCCATCAAGCGCAATATTTACCATCGAAACGCGATATTTCAACGTGCAGCTCCATTAGACGTTCAAATTAAGGGTGATCCGTGAAGCTTTCATTACCCACAAGTGAACCGACAACTTTGTCAAACTGTCGAACTTCATCTTAACGCCATTGGTCAAGAGATCCACTCTTGACATTTTCATTGAATGGTAATGCATAATTGCTCTGAATACTCAGTTGCTTGTTTGGACTTCAAGAAATATTTACATTTGTTTACTCTTTTATACAGAAGTCAATGTACCTCTTAAGGGAACGAATATCCCATGATTGATAACCAGCAGGAATCATTTGGTACTCGATAAACGACGAAAAAAAAAAGTTCCAGCACCCAATCAACTTGAGACTTGAAAATCCAAAGCTAACAGTTCAGTTCTTTACGGAAGTCGAGTAAATGCAAATTTCGATGAGTTTATTTAAGTGATAGTCATTCCGTAATTCAAAAGTATCTTATATCACTATTTCGCATAACCTTCGATTCCAAAAATGTTAATGAAGGTCCGAGATGTTAAAAGTTTTCAGTACCACACCCTGCCTTTAGCCTAAAAATCTTATTAATTTTTTTTGTTTCAGTGGACTGCAAATAGGATTATAGAATCCGGTAATATGTGTAAGCAACTGGCTCAGCCGATAAGTTTGTTTATTTTCTTTAGTATTCTGTTAGGTATTATTGCCTTGATGATTTTGGATGATGATCAGTTCAAGCAGCTTACGCCGGGAATCACATATGAAATTCTCTGAAAGAGAACGCGTTAAGGAAATTCGTGTGCCTGACAGAGGAAAATATCTCATCAAACTGAATATATTTTGTAAACCGTGATTATTGCCCTTGACAATTGTTTTATGAGGCTTCAGGGTCAGTAATGTGTCATGCTTGTTGAATCTTGAAAAACTTCATCAGATTTTCTCGTCATTTGCTATCCGTTTTATGCTCGGCATCTGTAGGTAGCCCCGGTTGCTAATCCGCGGTTTACCTTTGCTTCTCTCTTGTTTGTTTTCTTAAACAAATCGTTATGTTAGGCTTCAACTCTCTATTTAATTAGAAGCATATGCTCCTGGTTTGACGGCTGTTGTGACGTTAAATTAATCCAAAATCGTGAAGTCGGTACTTGCCATCAAAATGGCAGCCATTACAAAGCTACATGTCGCTTCCGTAGTCATTGCTTCGACGATTCTCGAGATGTTCTCTCGAGCCGTGCCATTCAAATATCATTTAGCTATTGATTCAGTTTTTGCAAGGCTTTAATGCAAACAAAAAGCTTCTAGCTTCTTTGGTCAAGCTGCATGACTCCTAGAAACGGGAATGAAGTAGTCTTTTATTTCAGCAAACGCGGATAGGATGCAAGAAGCTATTCGGATCCCTTAACACGCTGTGAACGTTAAGTCGACTATTCACATCCTCTCGTTATACATCATTAGTCGAATTGCGTATTTTAATATTTTGTCTTTAATCAGTCGCGTCATATCTAAATATTGTTTTTTTTTAACCAATTCTAATTTCGAAATCAAGTAACCCATTCGCCATTTCAGTGTAAATAACAGTAATTACATTTAAATATTTTTAAAACAAACCTATCGAAGTTTTCATCAACACTGCAAACTCAAAATATCTCTTCGAGCGCTCATTAGCAACCATTTCAACTATTTTCAAATGAAACTCAGACTCTACTCGTCTAATTCTTTTCCATCAAAGCTGCTGCTTTTTCTCCTTGTTTTGCTTATGTTAATGACGTTTACCTAAGTATATTTTTCAAATTCTAGGAAAGCAATCGGTCGGTAAATAAAACATCGGATATCATTCACTTTTATCACCTGTGTGTTTCACACTGAATTGCTTTATAATTGCAAATAGACATATTGTTATCTTCGAGTTTATCTCCTTTAGAAGATTTCAATCTGGAGTTATATTTATTTCAACAATGTATTGAATTTGCTACGCAACCAATATATCAGGATCTCAGGTCTCATGCAATCTAAAAGGTTGATACAAATATATTTTTTCGCGATCGAAGTTTGCGCTATCTTTTCAAAAAGGTGAGAAAAAACTGAAAATAAAACGTTATGTTTTGATACTTCAAATGTCAACATAATTCATATTTATCGGTTTGTATTTTTTTAAAAGCCCCGAGTCAGTAACGTATTATCATACAGCGATTTATCGCAATACCTTCTTGTGCTGTCGATTCATATTTGCGTTACACAATAACAAGTTGATTTCGTTTTCGCCAAGTTTGTCAGGAATCTGACATTTCATATGACACTCGGAATTCCCAGCAAGAGGTTTAGGATACCAAGGAGTGATTCATCGACTACTGAGGATGCATTTGGTGTGAATAAGCTTTTAACAAAGCCATGAGAAGCTTAAGTTAATGAATGGCACCTGCGGAACGTAGCGAATCGAACTTTCCCTGTAGTTAAGAGGGATCAAATTCGCTCAGGTTTGAACATTAGCAGCTAATATTTTAAGTACGCAGTCGGATCGAGATTGTTAGAAAACGAACAGAAAGCGGTTACGGTTAGCTGTCTTCACAGACCCGCGGCAAGGCATTTTAACTACCTAGGGAACCAACATTGGAAGGAAAAAAGATTCTGGTCAGTTTTGTTTTGATCTTAGTAGTATTATTATATAATAATTAAATGACTTTTAAATTCTCCTTCATTTGGAGAGTAAATACCAAAAAAGCGCTTCTCTAAAGGGAAACTTACAACCATGGCATAAATTATCTCACCGGCTGAGACACATTCCCACCTCTTTTTAAGGTGTAGAGGGCTATAAACTTTGATGGAAGACATTTTTGCAAACTGGAAGAAACAAACAAACACTCAAACAAACACAAAAAAGTATACGAAAATGCTCAAATTGCCATAACAAATTATTTTCATGACGGGTTTTAACATCAACTCATGAAGAGTTTAAACATCAACTCATCAAGCTCGCTTTCAGAAACATTTTAGCCGCTGCTTCCTCTTAAATGTGTCTTGCCAAACCATTCAGGACATGTAGTTCATTTCATTCAGCTTTTGCACTAACGCAGAGGGCGACACAACCTTCTCTCCCACCGGCCTTCGAATCAAGTCGAGCTGATCAATTCATGAAGTTAAAGATCTACCGCCAAAGGATAAAGTACTACTTAAACGATTTTGCTTGGATTAAATTTATCAGTGTAAGCCTAACGAAACTTTTTTTTATCGCTAACACGTCAGTATTTACCATTTTCAGAAAAGACTGACCAATTAGATGAAAAAATCTTTCTCCAAGCTTTTAAACTTACCATTAGCTTTTGGAGAACAGCGCCGAAACGATCGCACCATTACCTACATTTCCCATGCAAATTACTCATTTAAGGCTTTTCATTGGAAACATTAAAGTCAAATTGCTTTGACGAAAGCCGCAACGCTTTCCAGCACGCTTAAAACTTTGCTCATAAAGACGAATATCGGGCCTTAGTCTCCAGCTGACGTTTGTGAGACTAGAGAGTCACGTAACTTCTACACTTTCTTTAACGTGTTACTGAGGCCAAGAGGAATCTGTTTGAGGTAGTTTCTTTGATTCTTATTTTTTTCACTGATTTTAGAGTTCGATTATTAATTAATATCTCTTAAAAGGGTTTCAAGGCTGAATTGTACGCGTACCTAGACCATGAATTTGGAGTCAATAATTCAGGTTAAACTTGCAAATGTAAACTGGTCGGTTTTTTCCTAACGTACACACATTTTACAATGTAAACTGTTTTATGTCAAAATGGCAGATGTTAATTTGAGTACATTCTATTTATCAAAAATAGGTCAGCTCACCAAAAATCAAGAATTGTCAGGGTAGTCAAAATGGGAATCGAAAGCAGATTGATTTCATACGTAGATTGACTCAATTTAACCTTTGTCCCTCATTGAATTACCCTTCGATCCACGCTAAAGACGGAGAGCACGATTTTTTTTGCGCAGACGGACCGACTTTGGCTAGTAGATGTGATGTTTTACTTCCTCCCCGGTAAATTGGTTTATGAACGATTTTTGTGTGTATAACAGTGTTATTTGCATAGAATTTATCCCTTCTACTCAAACCTTTGGTAAGGTAAAAAAAAAAAACAAAAAAAAGCTGCAACGATCAAATCAGAGGAGCTTAGTAACAAAGTAACATTTTGAATCGACCGGATTAACTCTGTCACTCCTAAGATCTCATCGTCAACTTGCGTCAACCAATTCAATTCACTTACATCACTGATGAGGGACCTAATGAGATGATGGCTATTGAGGCCGACGATGTAAATTTTGGTCAATTCACGGCCAACGGTAAATATATTTTGTGGTCGCGTTTACAGTTCACCTATTTTTATGACTAGCAGTTAAAATTTGTCAATATTTTACGCATAACGGCTAAATTTTTTGGCTGTTTTTCAGTTAACGTTTAACCTCATTGAGACCCTCCAAAATGTTGAAATGTTGGTTGATTTTAACTTGCGCAGACCAATTATCAATGATATGGTAATAAACGGCAAACGATTGGCGAATGAAATTCCACCGATTTATTGACGAAAAGAAGCTGAACGAATCCTCCGACAGAAGCTAGTCATGTCAAAAGGAGGAAGATCGCAACAAGTGGCATGATAAACCAACCAAATTTGAGGAGTAAGGAAATATGTGTCATCGAGGAGTTTCAAGAAAAATAATTTTTCACCATATTTCGCTGATCCTGCCAGTGTTTAGAATCGTATTATGAAGAAATTAGAACGTGGTGTAGCTCCTAAGTAATTCCGTTTACCCAGTAGAAAAGCTTTGGCTCTCAGGTGCCTGGCGTCCCGCATGACTGCGATAAGGGAATCACATCAGCCCTTTAAACCCTGAAAGTGATAAACATTTAAGTTCTCCTTACAAAACCAGCCCTGGATCACACATTAAGGTCACAAGAATAAAGGAACTGATCACATTTGAAAGAAGTTTTTTTTATTATTAAACAAATTCTCCATGTCTGCACCTTAGAATATCTACAAAAAAAAATTTGGTGAATATCCCCACTGATGTTAAGGTGTTTAGGGTTTGTGAATCATCCCATGCTGAAGACAACCAAGATTTAGTAGCTTTTCTTATGCTTTTGCTATTATTTTCTTACTATCTCTTATGTATAAAGTAGCATGTACACAAACTTGGAAAACAATGTTTTACTACTTCGCCCAGAATTCCCATATCATTATTATCTGGCCAAAAAAAGCCCTTTGTACAAAATCATTCGTCGAGAAATTAAAAAAGTCACCTCTTGTCTTACTTCACGCGAGCAACTTTCTTATGAGGTCTGTGATCCATCAGTGTTTCATAAGATCATTACAAGAAGTGATATTTGTTAAAAACAGCTGAACTGAAAAAACCAAAACATCTTCATTATTATTAAAAACAACAGGCTGAATTGAAGAGGTCTCGCCATTGGGTGCCTACAAAACCTTGAGCAATCTTAATGGGAACGAAATGGTTCTTTTTACCGCGCTTGAAAGTTCTAATTTTTTTTTCATATCACTTGATGTCTATCCCTTGACTCCGTAACCACTTTATCGCAGTGTTGTATTGTGCTTTGGTCCGGGGCTTAATTTCCGAGGTCTCAATGTTTCATACGGTTTCGCTTTAATTTGTTTTCTCCAATCCGGACGACCGTCGGCAATGCTTTTATCTTGGAGGTATGAATCAGATAGGAAGGGAAACAAAAAGCTTGTTAAATATCCTGAGCTTTATTTTATGTCCGACCTGATATGTATAAAAATTGAACTGGAAGCTTAACTGTGACGTACAAATTGAACACAAGTAAAATTTTTGATTCGCCAAAATTTTTTAAAATTATCAGTAACACATTTTAAACTATATGATAATATTTTCTTTAATTTAGGAGTAGGTCATGGATTACGGAAGTAGATGGTTAAATTATTGCAAACAGAGAAAAAATAAATGGGAAGATAAAAGAAAAAACCTTCGCTTTACACATAGTTTTCAAAGTAAGAGTACAGCAGAAATGTAAAATCCTTTTCTCTTACTTTGCATTGTGCTGGTAAAACTTTCATCTGAAATTACCAATCTCCTTCATCGCAGCATGAGTTTATTTCTGAAGGAAATTGAGATGTGCAAGGTATGGCAAGGAAATTAGTCAGTGACAATTATAATCAGTTCAAGGTGAGACGGCCAAGTTTTGAATTTTCGACAAATATATTTTTTGTAAAAACTAGACCTCTCTTAAGTGAGAAAGTCGATGAAAATTCAAGGAAAAATACATTTCTTTGCTCATCTTCGAGGCCTAAATATCCTTACAAGCACAAAAAAGGTCATGACAGATTTCTTTCTTCTGATCTAACAGTGTTGTCCGCCTATATGGCGCTTAATTCATTTCTAAAAATTATAATTAGTGACTATAAACGTAGATCATCCGTAACAACACATCGACCTTTATTGTTTACATTCTATAAAGTTCTTCAAATTACTCATACCACGATCTGTGTCAGCAGAGGATCGCACTTTCTCCATCAATAATTTATCAAAGTTAAGAGTCTATTCATCGATTTAGCCTTACCCTTAAGGCTAAATGAACCGCAAATTAAACATCATAACGTAGGCTATGTTTGACGTCAAATCCGGCACAGCACGGGGTATACGTATAAATTTTTAAGCTGCTGCGAAATTGCAACTACATATATCTCTTCGTAATTTACCAGACTTTGTGCACTCTCTGGGGGAATCATGATGTCTCAGCACGTATCTACACCTTGAAGTGATTTGATATCACGCTCCGAAGGTCTTCAAGTGAGTTTTATTTTTATCGTAAGTTAAGTTTTCTCTGTACGCAAGCAGTGTTATTCATTACTTAGGACGATGGAACCACTTGACCGTTTTTGCCAGAGGTTTCACCAGTAGTCATCACCAGTGAGTTGATTATATCCAGATTCGCTTTAATCAAAGATTATTCCCTTTAACGCCGGCTGAAAAAAAGCCGTAAATTTGGGTGATACAGATCCTTTTATATCGACCACGAGAATAACAGATTGTAGAATAGATGAATCGTCCATCTTGATTTATCTCCGCCTGAAAATTGTGGTAGTTATTTGGTTCGAGTTTCAACGATGTTCTGAATGTTCGCGCACTGACAATGCTTCCGACAAAGTTTTTTCTCCGTGCATTCATCGCTTTCTTGTTTATACTTAAAAAAAAAACAAGTAATGTTGAGTTAATAGACAGCATGGAAATCGAGCATTGAACTCAGAGAGGAGTGAGCTGATTCATTCCCACTCTTCTTAGCAGATGCACGAATACCTCGTTGGTCGAGGTACGCATGAATCAACAGTAATGATTTTATATCAAAAAAATATTGGAAGATTATTCCATATTTTTTAAACAAGTTAGTTGTCAAAGCTGATTTCGATAACTAAAACAACACCGCTCTACATGTAAACTTCAGAAATTATTTATTCATGCAGAAAATTGTTGAACAACTGAGAAAGCTTTCAAGATATACCTTGATCCACTGCTCTAACTTAAAGTTTTATTATCAAACGTATCGGGTTGCTCGAGTAACATATTTCTAATTTCCCCTAGTTCGGCGACTTGTTTTTATTTCCCCGGAATATCACAAAAAAAGGTTATTATTTCTGTGAATTGTAGACCTTATCTAGTTTCCTGCTCGTCAGACATGAAGTCTGGGCGAAAAAAATAAAGACGACTGTGTAACGAGAAAAAGTATAATTTCTAGTGGGTGGATTTCGGCGCAGGTGAGCAACTTAGATTTTTCCAGTTTCATCCTTTAGCTGGTTTGTAAAGTTTTCAATGCTTGAATTTTCCTGTACTGAAGGTTTTCGCAAATTGTTTGATCGTCTTTTCGCGGCAAAATTTTGCCATTTCTTTCACACTGTCTTATGAGCACTAATTATTCATGCTTACGGTTTTGAAAACGTTTTATTGCCTTTGGTTACCCATAGGCAATAAAAATTATTTTTGAAAATAAAATGATTTATGACCTGAAAAAATTTCACAAAATCAAATGCTCTAAATTTTAGTTGGTTGTCTCAGCAAAATTGCCAAAGGTCACTAGACTAGTTTCGATCGCGCCAAAAAGTCCTCAAAATTTGACATAATGTCGACGCTAAAACTCATTAAATGATGATCTCATCTCTGAAAACTAACATCAGTTAAATTCAGCAGCTCTCCGGCACTGGAGGAAATACTTGGTACGAAAACCAGGCTTAATGATCAGAAATTTTCATCATGGGTTCCTGCCGTCTTCCATTTTTGTACTTTCCAAGGAACCTTGTTTGTGAATCCATAGAATTTTGTAAAAGGTAGTGCTTGCTTAAATTACACCCAATATGACGAAATAGGGGAGTATCCTTACAATCACTTAAAGGTGCACTTTATACAGTCGCACGATTCAAGTTCTTGCGTACAGAGAGACTCTAATTTTCTCGACAGATCATGCATACTTGATCATACTTGTGTTAGCAGTTCATCATGTGATAATCATGTGCTTCCAATACCGTGGTTTTGCAATCTAAACGTTAAGTTCAGAAGAGTGGCGATATAGATTGTGCAGACTGTGATATTTTATTTTGGACAGCAACAAACATATGAGAAGAACAAACGTGAAATATTTCCGTTCATAAACCTCCTACGTGTAATCAGAAGATGCCGCACTTGTTCCGGCCTACTTTTAGTCTATTAATTCCCCCATATTTACTGTTTTTGCTCAGGTGAAAAGGTTATTTAGCTGTTTTTCTGGTCGTTAATCCAAACGATCTATATTTAGCGCTTTCACATAAGGAGAGGCCTGAGGCTCAAATATGTTCAACAGAAGGATCAAAACATAGCTTGACAGAAGCAGTCCAAGATTTTTGATAGGCACTTAAAAGCACGTTTTTAAGTGACAGTTGAACTTCTTGGTGGCAGCTTTCAATTATTCTTGTTACACATGTCAGGGTGACGTCATTGAAAAACACCCAATGCAACGTTTACCTCAAGCATAACAGTGTTATAAAATCAGGAATGGAATGGACTGCCAACACAGCATTTGCTTTTCTCCGATGTACTAGTATACGGGTTGTTTGAAAGGCGGTCGGTGCTAGTCCATTAAGACTTAAAGTTGGTTTCTTATTTCTCTTCATGATAGAGAAATACTTTGAGGGCTAACATTTCGTGAATTTTTCCCTTCTTGTAAGGCTGAACTCTAGGAAATACTGTAAAACTGTAAACTTGATCAAAAAACTCCTCCCCAGAGCCATTAAACTAAATGTAAAACCTGCAAGGACCCCCTCACTCCCGGAGGTGACCAAAAGGTAATTTCTCCCGTGAATCATTCAATAAATGGTTTGAACCGGGAGTGACAGTCAATCATGCAATGTGATCGTCCGCTTTGAGCTGGTCTTGAAACGGGACTGGAAGGAATGGACGTCAACGAAACATTGAACAAGGTAATTTAGTATTTTCAACTGAGTTGATACGTAACTAGGCCACCTTTACGAGTTTCAAAGCTGACGTTTCGAGCGTTACCCCTCACAGCGTGAATGACGAAGGGCTACCGCTCGAAACGCGGCCAGTTTACCTTATCGACTCAGTTGGTGATACCAAATTATCTTTGCTCTGACGAAGGGCTAACGCTCGAAACTTTAGCTTTAAAACTCTAAACGGTGGCCAAATTACGTTACTCGGTTGATAATACTAGATTACCCTGTTATACTCTCCCACCGACGCAGCACCACAGTTTCTGTAGAAACTTACCCCCTTGTAACGTTGAACATGTTAGTTGTTATTGAGTCTTCTTGCCTTCCGGCGATCTATACCATGTTTATCACAAAGTGCGAATGCTTTTTCATTACAAAAGTGCAACAAGTGTTATAACAAAGTGGGTAGATTATTACAAAGTGCGACAGAGGTCCATCCAAGGCTAACCACGCGCACGACCGAATGCAAGTTATTTCATCATGCTCCTGATTAGAAACTCTAAAACCTTGTTTATTATACTGACTGTGGACAACGAACTAGCTGGGATGGCTAATAGTCTGCTCCAAGACTCTCGCAAACATCTGGTTTTCCAAAGCAGATCGAGTGAAGAATGAACTGAATAAAGAAAGACAAATAATCTTTACTTTACCAAGATTTCGTGGATCGCTTCAAATTTCTTAAGTTTAACATCTAAATTCATCAGGATGCTGAGAGCGTAAAAATATATTTGCGCACAATATATATATATATATATATATATATATATATATATATATATATATATATATATATATATATATGAAGACAATTTTTGACGATAAAGGAAAGGTTTTATACGTTTTATATATGTTTTTGAGTTGCGACTTTTTCGAAAATGGGTGAATATGCATGTATATGTATATATATTTATATGTATACATTGAGATAGGGAAAAAAACAAAGAAAAAAAAACTATACTTTCATCCCTACAAGCCTGTTTCGTGATCGCTCACTCATCAGGGGATTTTATAAATATCCCCTGATGAGTGAGTGATCTCTTTGTTTTTTCCCTCTCTCAATATATATCGCGCTCTACTTCTACGTATTGAGCACTGTACTGCGGAAAATCGAAACACAGACTTCCAATATATATATATATATATATATATATATATATATATATATGTATATTATTTTTTTTTAAAATTTTTTACTTTTTGATATATTAGCGAGAGTAGGAAACTTAGCGATTAATGTCAATCCTTTTTTAAGCTTTAGTGGGATTAATTAGACATTAATATGCTCCGGTGATTCATATTATTCTACAATATTATTCTACGAATATATCTGTTGCTTTTAGTTAAGGAATAGAAGAAAAATAATCAAAATGAGAGGTAGTTCTTGTCTCTTGTGTTCTCAAAAGCGAGTTTAAAATCATCCAATGACGATGACGCAGTTGTGGGACGAGGGAAAAATCCTTTTGCGAAAGCTAGAAGTCCATTCCACAGTCCTCTGGCCTTTCCGGCTCATTTTCGCCAACAAGTGACATTCGATCTATTTAATAAGCCCAGATGTTTGAAAACGTTCTTAATCTACGTCAATACGCTTTGCTCTTCTTTGGTTTTTTGAACATAATGGACAGCGAACAAGACAATGAAAAGATCAACTTGAAGTTTGATACTTCACTTAAACGGAATCTCCAAAGAGGTCCTCCTATTGGTCGCCTTGGACACCGTTTACTTACCAAATGAATTGCATTTGCAGGGATTACATTATTTATAAATTATTCATTCACGCGCTAAAATGGTGTGGAGTTGATTACCTAGTATTGTTGCGACTTTGTTTTCAGAATACATTGATGACGCAGATATGGACGTCGTGAGGTACCCCGAGTTAGACTCTTTGAGGTAGCAAAAGAAAGCCCAGTGCGGGCCGGGAAGATGCCATTCAGAGCATTGAAAGAACGGTATAGCAACTACAACAACCTATGGCTTCAGGCTTTGTTTACTTTGTTCTTACTAACTACAAGATCAGAAACCGGTGAAATCACTCTGGGGTTTTTACTGCCATTTAATGTTCCGACGAATAATTCTGCCGCGGTGGCGCTTACATCAGCAAAAGACTTCGCTTCTGCGTTTCTGCTGGCTGTGGAAGCAGTCAATGATTCATCATTGCTACCCGGGAATCGAGTAACCTTTGTTTTGAACGATACTCAGTGCAACGATGATATTTCAATCAAGACCATGCTCTATCAGTTGGAGAGAGGTGTTAAGGTTATCATAGGACCTGGATGTACCTGTGCGACAGAGGCGAAGTTAGCAGCAGCCGCGAATGTCCCTATGGTTTCGTACGTAAGTACAACAGACACTGATGAAATATAGTTACTTAGCTTGATGTTGCTAACATAGTTGATACTCAATCTCGGCTACAAACAGCGGCTGTCACCCAGCAACTTTGCGAATAAGCTCCATATGTCGATATGATCAATTTTATTAGCAAGAATTGTGAGGCAAAATTTAACCCCAACGAGTACCTTTCGTTCATGATATCCGGATGATTCACGATCTCAAGTGTCAGAGTTGACCGCGGGATATACTTTTTACTTGGGACAATCTTAACACAGCAGCTTCTTAACAATGAAGTATTCTTCACCTTCTTGAGGGCTGTGAATCCTCTCACAATGAAATAATCAAGTTTTTGTTTTTCGCAATAACATACAGGATTACTTCTGTGTTCTTGACCGGAATAGACCCCTAAGGGGGTTGTAACGGAGCCGTTGTCTTTAATAGGAAAAGTGGTCTTTTGGGAATATTGTTATTGACCGCAAGATCGCACAGAATACGGACAAACATACTCATGAATTGTGTACATTTCATGCTCTGAGAAATTCTTTGTTTTGAGGAAAGCTTTTGGGCGGTCTGTCCGTTTACAACAAACGCTGATCAAACTTGGAATTTTCATCCATTTTCATAGAACGTATTGTGCCTTTGTCAAGGCGTTGGTGGCAGTAAATAGTGTACGCCAAATGAGACACGGAGGTTGGTTTTTGTCGTGTAGATTTGTGTAAACAAAAGGTGAGCTTAGAATTTGGCAAGAACTGTGACTAAATTGTTTAGGGTTTGCAAACTTTGTCTTACATTTGCATTTTCTTGACGGCATGACGGCTTTCTGATTTAAGAAAAGTTTGATCTGGACTGTTAAGAGAAATTAGAGGACTAGAACTTTGAAATGATAATAATGAAACGTTGCAATAACAAAGCTTACAAACATTGCTTTGTCAGTAGGTTTAAATGCATACATTTTGTAGGTAAATCTTTTTCATTAGCATCTTCATTATTTACCCGAAAATTCGTCGCGATTTGGAAACCGTTTAGCGAAACATTAACCGCCGAAAAACCGCGATCTACTGCTGCCTTCCTTCCTGTGCAGCAATTAATAGATAATACCATTTTGTATTGATATGCTTTATTTCGCTTTTTTCACCTTTCGACTGAATGTTTGAAATTCACACTAAACTGGCATGCAAATTTTAACTTCTTCGCAAAAATACACTTCGGTAATATTTCGATGACTCGGAATATATTTAATTGAAATTTTGCCAAGAAACCAGAAATTGCATATCTGGAGAACAACATCTTCAGTGTAGGTCACTTTTGATATTTTTGCTACGTGCCTATCTGTTCACACTATTATACTTGTTGGCACGTCAAAATATCTCTTATCTATATTAAAAACAGTATTCTGACACTCACATCGACGGCTTGCCGAAGAGAGAGTGACAGAAATGAGTAATCCACTCTCGCCTGAATAAATTTTTTTTAAGAGCCATGTTTAAAATTAGGCTTTATCTATCAATTTTAGATGAAAATATTGATCATTTGAACGTTTTTTCCTTGTGCTACCGAACACAAACTCTTCGTTTTTTTCAAATTGTTATTTGAATAAAAAGCCTCTCGTAAAAGCAGTTTGAGTAATTCTATACCGCGAAAAGGTGAAACAGAATGCTATGTTTGGCTGAAAGAGAAAAGGTGAATTATTTTTGCAAGAAACACACATTGCAAAGAAATAGATTGACTGCTAAGATTATTTTTGAGTTATTACTCAGAAACGGCTTGAAACGAGTCAAGGGAAAAGAGTCATAAATTTCACTTAGCTGTAATATTTCCGGAGCAGTTTTTGATTAGAAACGAATGGTATTGTGAACTGGGTCGGCTGCTATAGACTGGATCATGTTATTACCCATGGAGACCGGAGCACTGATTCAAACTAATAAAAAAAAATATATATATATATATATGTATATATATATATAAAACCCAAAGAATAACTGAACAACCTAAACTGAAGATTTCAAAACAGTTTCTGATCATCGAGATACAACTATTAGAAATATAGCGATTTTCTAACAGTTTCACAGATGGACGCGTCGATGACAGATTGATGCCTATCACGCTTTTTGTGCCTCATTGCAACTTCAAAGGGAAAATTGCCTAGTATTCATCTAGCGGCTTGATACTCACAAAAATGTCAGACAATAATTGTGAATGTCTTTCAAATTATCAATTTTCTTGAGTTTCATTCTCAGCTAGAACCCGCTCTAGTTTAAGAGATATTTCCTTTTTTAGGAGTAACAGCCATTTATTTTACAAATTAAACTTTCCATCTAATGACAGCAAACTGCGCAAAGTCGAATTAAATCGTTTCTGTAATTATATGAAATAATCTTTTTTAAAGTTTGAGTGTCAAACTGCACGTGAAACGACTGAACCTCACGTAATGTGTACTGTATATCAAAAATCTTTTCCAAAGCGGTGGCGTCGCATTCATTTTGCGTGCAAATGACAGTCAGGCCACACTGAAAGAAATTTTATATTTCATTTGCTAGGAGAGGTGTTCAACGAAATTGACGTTAAGTTTACAAATTGCGTACTGTCTGCACTCTCGGTTGGAAAGTCCGAAACAGTTGGCATTTTTCGGCGGTAATGATTCATCTCCGACAATTCTTGTTTTAAAAATTTTGACACATCCGGTTATTTGGTATAATATTATTAAAGAACTTGGAATTTTGAATACGTTTGTTGTTCATACTTTGCCGAAATCGTTTTCCGACGTTTATGAATATATTTAAAAACAGGTCTACACAAAAGAACAAAAGGCTTTGCTGACTGATATGAATTTACTTTTCATGTCCAGAAATTTCACTCCGTATTTTTAAAGCAGCCCTTGTAAAGATTTCTATAAACCTGCACAATTTTAAAAGCGTTACGATCAATATGATAAATTTCTGTGGGTTTCTGTAAAGATTTTGGTGTAGTTATGGACAGTGTTATCAACGAAAGGGCATTATTATCAAACTGCTTTTTGTTTTGTTTTTGTCTTTTTCCTCTCCTGTTTGGTAAAGAGTTCGAAGATAATGCCCTTCATTTCCTGTTTATTTTCCCGCTGTTTGCTAATGAATGGCCGATATTGACCGGTTTAATGTTGTTATAACATCATGGAAAAAGACCATCTATGAAAATATTGCGCGTTAATATTACTTTCATGATTGTTGAAGGAATAATTATATTCTCGAATTTTAAATTTTGAATGGAAAGTTCATTGGAAAGTAAACATTTTCCACAATTTTATGATCTCTTAATCGCCCAGTGATTGACAAATATATTTGTCTTTACTGGGCAATAACTAAGGATCTCTTTCAAAACAGAAGGTTGATTGATGTTTGATGGCGGTGCTAAGCATCTCAGTAAACTAGCAATGGTAAACTTAAAGAGGAAGTAAGAGTGAAATTTCATAGTCATCGAGATAAATAACGACAGGTCGCTCCAATTTTTTTCCAGTATTTTTCCAAAGAAAAGGAAAAACAAACCAACAGACATATTTTGCTTGAATTAAATTTTGAACATTCCTACTCTTAAATTATATCGTGAAGTCTTTTTCACAGCTAAGTCTCTGATTAAGGATTTTTAGCGTTCGATGGTATATTTTCCGTCTTAAAGACCGTAACTTGTGGAAATAACCCCATTGTCCATATCATATTCGCAAACCAAAAAAATTCAAGATATTTCTATTTGATAAAAGAGGTGAATATGATCTAAGACGAGAATCCTCGAGAAGACCATCTATTTTAGTGAGAAAGTCCATTGGAAAAAAGACCTTGAATCGCATTTTTGACTGTGTCACAACCTTTTAGCCGATGATTTCGACTTTGCGTGAATGGAATTTTTATTAGAGAATTGATTTTAGAGACGGCCCACGCTGAGATTGCTATCTTAAGAAAACCTTAAGGGCGTCGAGCCTATTAGTGATCTCTCTGGCCGTAATTCCTTTTTTGTTTTCAATTTTCCACTTATGCATTATTAGTCAAATGTTGTCAATGTCTTTCGCGAATAATTGACAGTGTACTTCTGGATCAATCAAATTTGTGTTTCGAAGCAAGTTGACGAGCCAATGTTGAACGCTATATGAACGGGAGATATTCTTATACTCGACTAAAACCCATTACCTTGTTTGTTTACAGTGTGCTGGATTTGTCTGGAAGCGTAGTGGCGGGTTATAAGGCGTGTTTCAGTTGAAGTTTGGACTGAGTGTGAGCCTTATATTGAATTATAATGAGCGGTGCTATTCAGTTCCTCAAAGTTTAAATATGAACATGGTGCCGCTAATCCTTTCGTTTAAACACGGCGACGGCGAAGTCTTAGGGATTATGATCGCTTTATTGTCCCTAATGGATGACCTTAGAAAGTCACGTACGACCTAATTGAGGTCATAAATTACATTCACTAAAAACGTTTGTGAGTTAATGGATTTGGAATGTAACGAACAGGCAACGTTTGCGAAGAAGAGAATTATGTTTGAAATAACAGCATGAACGGGAAATTACACAGCTTGAGTTGAAATGCCAATTACAGAACGTTTAGATTAGATTTAGCTTAGTTTAAGCGGAAATTTGAAAACTGAATTCAAATGATTCCCGACACATCTCTTGTGTTGTGAGAGAAAAGCGCGAAGTAGATTATCGGTCGACAGTTTTTTAAACCTCGCCTACGTAAATATTTTGCAGTGGGCGATTTAGTGGTCGATTTGTCAGCGCGTCAAACAATCCAGTTGTCTTGGTTAGTGAATGGCAAGTAGCGGAGTTGTGTTCTTGAGAAAAAATAATTTATTTCTGTAATTCATCAGAGAAAAATTATATTAGCGAAGATTAGATAGGTAAAAACCTCTAAACATTTTGATCTAAGAGCTGGAACGCTGTTCCCAGTGGTGTCTTCATGTTACTTAATACGCGATAAACTCCTGCAGGTGACTATTCATCAGTGGCAGCTATTATAGTCTCTTTCTCAGCAGCTGTCGCTCATGGGTCTGTTAGCACCGACTCAGGAAAATAACCAATCAATTCAGACCAACCGTTCCGGTGAAAGGAAATTTGCTGCAAAACAGTAAAACTTTGGAGACGTTGGCGTTCTTTACACCGCATGCGCATGATGTCCTACACTCTCGGAGGTTATCCATGTTTCGATTGCATATAGCGACTAGGTCTAGTGCAACTCCATTGGGTTGGGGTGCTAGTTCATCGAAGGTTACCGCCCTACCGCCCTAC